TTTTCTAGCGTAGTCTAACCTACTATAGTTGTAAACAAAACCGAATTTAGCTAACTCTACTTCTACCCGTTTTTGAGTAAAAAGAGATATATCCTTTGGATACCCTTCTTCGTCGTATGTCACCGGAGGAAGGGAAGGGTTTCTTGCTAAAACATCAGCCTCATAAGATGTGTCTGACCCATACACTGACGAAAAAATGCGAACTACACAATGCTTGGATGCTCTCACCGTTCGTTTTAATCTGTCTCCAATATACTCCTTGATTTCGGCATGAGGTAATTTTTTTAACAAGTCTATCACGGTTTCACTTCGCACATGTGTGTCGATTACAATCAACTGTTTCTCTCTTAGTAAGGGAAGAAGTTCAGCATAATCTACCCTGATCGACTCGGTGTTAATAAATATATTTAAGGTATGCATTCCACATGATTAGAAAATGAAATAGGCGGTAGTAAGTGAAATAAAAAAAATGTTTAAATTAAATTAAAAATTACAGCTGATCTGGCTCAGAAACACACAAAACGAACTCAGGCATTTCAGTAATACGCAAGATGGCGATTTAAAACTCGCTCGGTTTATCAAAAAAAAAAAATTTAACACAAACCCAAAACGAGAAAACGAAACCAGAAACAATAAGAAAATTACTTTGACCTTATAAAAATAAAAAAAAAATGTTACTGCATCCAATTGAAAAAACGCAATCCTGAAAAGACAAGAAAATTCCCTGGTTTCTTCCAAATACATTTGACCTGTAAAGAAAAATGATCAGAAACGAAAAGGAAAAAAATAAAAAAAAAGACAGAAAAATCAACTATATAATTCCTTTCTTGAGTCTACGCAATCTCGGAAACACAAATTAAATTTTCTCACTCGCTTGGCTTTTTATGGAGAGGTACTACAGAACGGCCAAGAAACACTCACCGGGAGTTTATTTTTTGGCTACCCGGCCGGGCCTACACCACTTGAAACGCACGTCACTCTCCTGGCCAAAAGACCCAGGGGTGACGAGCAGATGTTAAAGGGGGCGAATTTCCACCAGTCAAGGTATTAGGTGATAGGAGCCCTTGACAACTCCAAAACTCGACGAATGGACTCAAGAAAGGACTAGTGAGGGCTTTTGATTTTTAACTCTGCCAAACCTGGCCTGAGGATTTCCTTGACTCGCTCGGCTCCTGCCGCCAAATGGGTGCTGGACGATAGGATTGGAGAAACGGATGTCAACACCGAATTTAATTAAGGGCCACTCAAGATTTATTCACAGTACACACTACACAAGAAAATTTAAACCCTACGCTAACACGTTTTAAACAATGTTAAATGAAGGCCAAGGTGGCTCTTCACAACTGGATATAACGTCCGATATTACTCAGATTCGATAAAAAAAACAAAAGGGACAAAAAAAATAGAAACGGATATTAAACATAAGAAAAATTATAAAACCACGACACACCAAACACGACTACACGACAAACGAAGACAATTTAAACGCGATCACGCACAACGGTTGAGTCGGAATTTCCACGTAACACGGGCCGGACTGGGCAACTGCCTCTTATACCTTCCTCTTGCGCTTAGAAAATCACGACTGACTTCAGAAGAGATGTTCAGACGCTACCCTGGGCCAGAGATGCCAGGGAAGCGTCGGTTCCCATGGGAAAGTACTGGGGGAAATTCTGAAGCAGCAAAAATTCAGACTCCAAACCACGCTTTCCAAGAATCGCCGGACGGACAGTGTCCTGAGCCACAGCCAAATTCATCAGAGTCCCGCAAAATTCTCAGAGATTCACTCCGGAACAGTGCGGGCCCCTGACCGATTTGGCAGCTTCGCATGTCTGCCGGAAACCGATGGAATCGTGGCTGGGCAGTTTTCTCAAAACGCAAGAAAAATGCAAGACAAGCGGCTGGAACGCATCCGCCAGACAGGTCCAGTCGACGTCCCATCTCCCAGTTTCCTTCGCTTGCGTGAGAAAATGTTCGCGGCGCTGCTCGAGGTAAACTTTAAATCCCGGAGAAATTCAAAGCTTCTCCCGGGCCGCGCCGCGAAATGAGGGCTAAGGATTAGTGGGCCCAAAGGCAAAATGACCGTTTCAGTACTACTTTACCAAAAATGTTTGAGCTGTGCAATCCATCATATTAGATATATATTTTTAAGATAGTTTGACTCGTTTATTTGAGAACCGTGTGGTGGTAATGTTACTAAAACTTGTGACAGTATGGCCGCAACGCAACTTAGCGAGGAGGTAACATCTCGAGATGTCCTCTTCGCTATTCAGTAATTATAAATGAATTATATCTTTAAATCATACCAGCTCCTCCAAGGGGCCAAGGTGGAGCATAAGCTGCCCATTGCTCACCAGCTTCGATATCAGTTTCCAGGATATTTCCAACCAGCCAGTAAAGCACTTCTCGGTCATAGGGATTATCACTCGATGGTGCGTCCAATCCAGCATGGTGATCAAACACTTTCATTTTTTTTTTTCAGAAAAAACTTAGGCATTTAATAGGAAACAAATGTAGAATTGCACATGAAAGATAAGCCTAGGGCTAAAACTCTCCAGATCTGTTAGTTCCGGAGTGGTAATTTGATAAAATCAACATTGCAATTCGTTGGTCGTCAAGTTTGGTCGTCGTTTGGTTTTAGTTTCGGGACTTAACATCCAACTGTTAAACTTCCTACTAGGTGGATGATTAAAGTGTTGAGAATTTCTTTTTGTAAACAAACCGAAGTTTGAGTGACTTGTTTCGCTCCAAGCTCATCATAAACCCAGTAGGTTTGATGACTTTTGCTCCCTCATAATTTTCCTCAAGAAAGTGTCCAATTCCCGAAAGAAAGAGTTCCCACCGTCGCTCTGGGTCTCTCTTTGTCTCATGAATGGTAGAGTACCTATATTGAGAGAGTATGGCCACTGGGCCCCATGGAGAGGCTTAGGACCCAAAAATGGCGATGCTTTGTTTTGGTTTTTGCGGGTGGGAGGGGGGTCATTGCCAACTATTGACGGTTATCACCAACCGCACTTGCTGCCAACTTTACTACATCCAAGATAATTTTTCTCAAAAATTGCACACGATTAGCCTTAAAAATATGTAAATAAGTCGCAATAGTGCATTTGGGTGAATTTCTCGTTACGATAAGCAAAGAAAACTACATTTTGAGTCATTTTGCATTACATTAATTTATAGCGTCCGCCATTTTTGGGTCCTAAGGGCTCCATTCAGCCTAAGATGGCTGAGTCAATCAGAGGTGGTAACACCAGTGGCCATACTCTCTCAATATAGGTACTCTAATGAATGGAGGTGAAGGCTACGCCGATGTGCGATGGGAGATGCTCGAGTACAGAATTCTCGTTCTCGAGTATTGCATCATCACCATGATAAGTAAGTGGTCCCTCGCCTCCTTAAGATCGAGATCGTATTTTTGCTGGCAAATCCAACAGAACGATTTTCGATCAAAACATGGCCATAGCGCCTCTAGTGGCAAAAAATAATCATACAGATATATGTAAATTTTTTCGGATGAAACCCGAGTTTTTGCGTAAATTTACAACACGGAAATCTAATTTCAGATTCAACTTCACAAAAACAAGCGGGAAAGTTCTAATACTGTCGTATTAGAAAAGCGCTCAGGTGTTAGTAAATGTATTTAGTGAAGAAAGGAAGTATAAACTCCGTCGACTTGGCTGGGAAATGGAAATAAAACATCAGCTGATAACAAACAAAGGTTACCAAGGAAACCGTAAACGCGTTCTTTCGTTTCCCGAAAATGATAGCCACCGTTGAGCTCACCAGGCGCGTTTTTTTTAAGGCTTCTTTTATTTTCAACGATCAATTTCGATAAGAATTACTCTACCGCTAAGGAAATGTCTTATAGACAAACGATCGTAACTACCCGCGCATTACGTTAAAAGCATAAAAAACGGTTATCACAGCTTTATTTATTTTAAAACTGGACCCCCCCAAAAAGCCTACACATCGATGAGCTGGTGCGCCATTTAAACGAATTAGCACTAGTATACTAGTATTCTAGAGGCAAATCGAAATCAAACAAGCAGTTCCAACGCCAAAGCGTTGGAGGGCGCTTCTTTAACACTGCGCATGCGAGGAACGTTTTCATACGGCCAAGCGAGAGTATTGCGGACGGACGATGTATAACAAATTGCCTACGTGAAGGTGGTCCGGCAGCAACATACCCGCCGCTAGTCTCTGGAAAACAATAGAAAATAGTAGTTGCGTACGTTGCCAGCGAGCGCGCTGCGAGCGCATCTGTTTCAATTACCTAGCATCGAGTCGGGCCTCTAACTTTCTATTCTCTCTGACATAACCTTAAACCTTCAACCCAGAGCCGCAAACAGCTGACGCTTGACAATGCTGCGCTGAGAAAATGAACCAATCACAAAATAGCACAGTAATACGTCACTAAAATGAAGAGATCACGTGACTGTTCGTGATTTTTTCGAATCAATCTGAATCTACAACCTCGAATATGAGGCATTTAAGCATAACGAAGCCCCAAAATAGTTTAACCAGGTAATACGTCCGTGCGAGATTGTTATGCTTAAAAGCAAAACATTTCACGAAAACTTTTACGAATACCAGATGCAGAAAAAAATCAAATTTTCCCGGGTGTACCAGAATGGCGTCATTACCCATAAGGCAAAACGGTATGTAGTATAGTACATGTTACATCGGGGGAGTCGAACGGCTGGAAAGGGCGCATCTGGTACCCAGAAGCGCCCAAAAGCGCTGCCTATCGGCTGAGCGCTCTTTGAGAAGTTGCCTTCGAGACTGAATTTCCTCGTGTCACCAACGATGACACTACTTGACAGAAATGGGTGTCAATGAAAATACAAGGAAGAAGGAGGGTGTGAGCTATGGATCAGCAGTGTAAAAATCTCGTTTAGAGTCTAAAACTACAACAGAGTTATATTGAATGTGTAATGCCACTGATTTCGAAAAAATTTAAAGGTAGAAAGGGAATTAAAGTGAAAAAAAAAATGTTTTCATTTCAGTTCTTAACTTTTATTTAACTCTAATTTTAAAATAATTCACAGCACTTGGAGTCCCAAGATTGTACTTTTCCGCCAAGTCCATTGCAGAGAAATTGACGCGCCTGCCTCCGATGACACTAGGACATAGAGCAAAATATGTGTTTTAAAACAAGCTGATAAAATGACTTCAACTTACAGTGACAAAATTGGGTGTTTAGCTAGGTTTAGCAAGATGAGTTCAATCGTGTAAGCGTTATAGTAATTACCCCCTTAACTATTTTCCGTGAACAAAATGGTAAGTGCCTATTGTGAAACTTCAATTTTAATTTCATATCAACACCATATTTTAATGAGTACTGTTGCGTACATTTTAGCAACAATCAGAACTATTGAATATTCAACTCCATAATAATAATTACCTTCATAATGATGCTGAGAACACGAGAACTTTATTTATTAAGGTTTTATAAAGCATATATATGTCAGAATGTAGTTGCCACGGAGACATACATGGTTGAAGCTTAAAAGCTTTAACAAGCTCCCCCCCTTGAGGTTGCCTCAACTTTCAATTTTGAAGTCCACTTAAATTTTTAACATTTTTTTTTTTTTTTTTTTAACTTGATAATTTGTAAATTTGACAATTTCATATAAAATTTTGATAAGTAATCTTTATAAAATGTAGACAATTTTAAAATTTAATTTTCCACTTTTAAGTCTGGGAATGAGCTTAGCTCTGATATAGCGCGTATCAGTATACCACTGGGCGCCTCCAAAATCACAGTGTGGCATAGGCCATCGGCGCTTTTGCACACTTTTTTAACTCTTGCCATTTGCCAATATAAAGGCGGAGTATTTTTATCTTTTATTAACACTAATTCTCCAATCTCTGGTGTTTTTCGTTCCTTAAACCATTTACTGGATACTTGAAGGTTTTGTAAATATTCTGAGCTCCATTTTTGCCAGAACTGTTTTGAAGCTTTGTTTATTTCATTCCATCTAATGTGTAAACTATCTTCTTTCCTTCTTTCCGAAATATGAACATCTGGGAGATTAATTAGGGGTCTTCCAACTAGAAAATGGCCTGGTGTTAGTGCTCCAAAATCTTCTGGATTGTCAGATAGAGGTACTAGAGGTCGGGAATTTAATATTGCTTCTATTTGAGTGGTGATTGTAATAAATTCTTCGAGGGAGAAGGTCGTTTTATATGCCATTTTTCTGAAGTGAAATTTAAACCTTTTTATTGCTGATTCCCACAAACCACCGTGATGAGGGGATAACGGAGGTGAGAAATTCCATTTGATTGAGCGATTTTGGATGTACATAGATAAGTCTTTATTCTCAATTATTTGCTGAAACGCTCTGCGTAGATGAGCGTCTGCTGATACAAACGTTTTTGCGTTATCTGAATATATTGAGTGTGGTATCCCTCTGCGAGAGACGAATCTTTTCAATGCAGATAGAAAAGATTCAACGGTCAGTGACGACACTACTTCTACATGTATTGCCTTCGTTGCGAAACATACAAAGATGCATAGGTATGCTTTTGTTTTCGGGGTTCGTTTTTTAGTTGGAGTGCAAATTGGGAAAGGACCAGCAAAATCTATTCCCGTGTTAGAGAAGCAGTGAGATGGCGTTTCTCTGGTTTTTGGCAACGGAGCCATTCTTTGATTGCACATTTTTGGCTGATCTTTGTAGCATGGAATGCATTTGTTAACAATTTTTCTTGATAAAATTCGCCCTTGCAACGGCCAAAATCTGGACCGTACTGAAGACAGTAGAAGAGAAGGCGGTGCATGGAAGAGTCTATTGTGTTCATTTTCGAAGATTCTCTGTGTTAGCATACTATTTGTGGGCAGTATGAATGGATGCTTACTTTCTCTTGGCAACTCAGAATTGTGCAATCTTCCTCCAACTTTCAAAGTTCCATCTTCATCAAGAAACGGATAGAGGTTGCAAATTTTGCTAGACCTTTTAACAGGTTTGTTTGATTGCAAATCTTTCATTTCTTCAGCAAACTCTTTCTGTGCCGATTTTATGCAAAGAATTAGTGCACTATTTAGCATTTCTGAAGTTAATAAATTTTTCTTGTAGGTGGAGTTAAGTTTCTTTGTAGACAGTATTTGACGTTTAACTCTGAATGATTTTACCTTAATAGATTCTTTTAGATTTTTCGTAAATCGCATGCAATATGACAAAATTCTAAGCGGTTTGTCCAAACTTGAGTATTTATGTAATAATAATTCACTTAATGATTCCTTTTCTAATGTTGTTAACATTATTTCCTTAATTTTTCTTTCTGCTGGTATAGGAGATGGGATTTGTAAATTCTGTTGCGGCCAAAATTTTGTATCTTTTAGTAAAAATTCTGGTCCTGTCCACCATAAGCTTGACTGAACCAGTGTTTTGACACTTGTTCCACGTGAGATTAAATCTGCAGGATTTTCTTTTGAGGGCACATACAACCACCGAGCATCGAACTTGGATGTGAACTTCTGAATTTCAGATACTCTGTTTGCGACGTACAATTCCCATTTTTCTGGTTTGTTGTTTATCCAATGAAGAACTATCTCGGAGTCTGACCATAAAAATATTTTGGAAGGTTTGTTGTTTAACGCAGTCAGCACTTTCATAGCCAACTCAGTTAGGAGGACAGCCGCTGACAATTCTAGTCGAGGTAATGTTTTCTTCGCTTTTATTGGTGCCACTCTTGATTTTGAGCATACCAACCTGGAGATGTTGCTTGTTCTCATGTATATACATGCGCCGTAACCTTTTGGGGATGCATCACCAAATCCGTGCAGAACAATTTCTTTTTCATTTGAAGAGTAAAGTATTTTTCGCGGCACCTTAATGTCATTCAATGAGGGTAATTCATTTTTCAATTTTAACCATTGATTTGTTATTTCACTGGGAATTTCATCATCCCATGCAAGTTTTATTTTCCAAACGTCTTGCATTATTAAATGAGCTCTTATAATGATCGGGCTCAAAAAACCTAACGGGTCGAAAATTTTTGATAACTTAGATAGAAGTTCTCTTTTTGTGATAATTTTGTTTTCTTTTTCCGGGATCATGAACGTATAGCTGAAAATGTCTGTGCGCGGTGTCCAATTTATTCCCAGGACACCTACTTCAGGTTTTTCGTTGAAGTATAGTGGTTCTTCTTTTTGTTTTTGATCTTTAAACACTTTTTTATCATTACTTGTCCATTTTCTCAGATGAAATCCTTCAGGTTCTAAAATTGATTCCACGTCATTTTTTAGTTTTATTACTGCTTTCACAGAGGGTCCACCTGAAATGAAGTCATCAACATAAAATGATTGTAAAATGTTTGCTGATGCATCAGGATATTTTTCAGCCTTTCTTATCGCACTTTCTCTCAAGGATCTTATTGCCAAAAATGCAGCTGGACCTGTCCCGTAGGTAACTGTATTTAGTTGGTAAGTTTTAATAGGTTCGTCTGGTGATTTTCTCCATAAAATTTGTTGAAACCGCCGATGCGAAGGATGAATCCAAATTTGGCGATACATCTTGGTGACATCTGCACAGATTACAATTTGATACTCTCTGAATCTGATCAAAATTGAGAATAAATCATCCTGTATTACTGGTCCACTGTAAAGTGTGTCGTTAAGAGATAATCCAGTAGAAGTCTTAGCTGATGCGTCGAAAACCACTCTTAACTTTGTGGTCAATCTGCTTTCATTTAAAACTCCTAGATGAGGTATGTAAAAACAAGGATGATCATCAATTTCATTCGGATGTTCTGAAACCTGAGTCATGTGTCCCAGGTCTTCATATTCTTGCAAGAATGCTTTATACATTTCGCAAAGCTTCTCATTGTTTTTAAGTTTCTTTTCGAGAGCAAAGAGTCTTTTTCTTGCTAAGTTTCTCGATTGTCCTAGGACACTTGGATCCAGTTTAAATGGAAGATAAACCATGAAACGTCCATCATTTGCTTTTGTTGTAGTGTTCATAAACAGCTCTTCACAAGTATCTAAGGAGGGTTTCTTTGATGATTCTGAGCAATCTTCCAAATCATAGTTATCTGTCATGCATAGATTAATAGTTGAGAGTGCTGAATTGTTATTTTCACCAACTACTATCCAGCCCCAAGATGTTTTTTGAAATAATGGTAATTCAGGACTCGGAAGTACACGTTCAGGTTGCAAAATTCTCCAAAATATTGTTGAACCGAATACTATTTCAATTGATCCTCCTTTGTGAAACGTTGGGTCAGCCAAGGTAAGATTTCTGTTATTTACTTCTTTCAAGATTGTTTCCGATTTTTTGAAGCTTGGTGGTACTTCAATTGGTAGGGATTTCAGTATCATGCACTGAATATGTACAGGTTCAGTAGAATTAGGAGGTAATACAGTTATTTTTGCTTTTGAATAAATATATTCAGAACCCACTCCAAAGACTTGGCACCGCATTGATTCTGTTGTTATTTTTAGTTTTTCGCACATTTTTGAAGATATGAAATTGGATTGAGCTCCTGTGTCCAAAATGCCTTTACATGGATGATAGTAGCCTTTGGAGTCTAGAACTGATACCCTTACTAACGCTAGTCATGCTGATGAGCTTTCTTTTGATGTTTGACTTAACGCAATGTTTTTTTCTGCGTGCGCTCCTTTGTGAAGTAATTCATGATGCTTGCCCTTGCAAATCATGCAGGGTTCATTTAAGCATACTCCAGTATGCTTCTTTAAGCATTGACGACATAGATTTTCAGTTTGTACAACCAATATTCTGTCTGGTAATGATAATTTTTCATATTGTCTGCATTGTGAGATGGGATGAGAACCATTATTACAGTATGCACAACACTTGCTACGTTTATCGCTGTACTTCGGTTTTTTGTCAGTTTGCATTAATCCAATTGAAGGTGCTGCCTTCCTTTTTGATTTTTGATAGTTTGTCGTCTTTTCATTTTTGTTCCAAGTACTTTTCTCTTCAGAGTAAGTCTTTGGTTTTCTTTTTTCCAAACTCTCTAGGACTTGGCGTCTTCTTTGTAAGAATTCGAATAATTATTCTTTTGTTGCTGCATCTTTTCTTGGAGCAATTGTTTCCCATTGCGCGAGTGTGGATCCGTCAAATCGTGATACAGCTGCGTAAACGAATACTGGATCCCAATTTGAGGTGTCAATGTTTAATGCTGATAAGGACTGCATTGCTTGATGAATATTGTTATACAAGGTATCAATTGTTTTTGACGTCATCTTTTGTGATTTGCAAGTACAAGATGAATCCATATCAATTAATTTTTGCATAAATTTGTGGATAAAATACCTTTTATTTTCATATTTGTCTGATAGGGTTTGCAATCGACTCAAATTGAAGGAATTCGTCCATCGTATGATTTTCTGGTTTAAGTTTTACGAGTTCATTAACTATCCGAAAATATTGAGGGACTAGTTGCATCGATGAGTTGTACCTTGCTTCCACCACTTGCGAATCGATGCTCGAACCTTGTAGATATGTTTCGAAACATCCCAGCTGACATTTAAGTTGATCTTTGGTTATTAACAGGGCTTCTATCTTTTCTTCACTCATTGCTCTCCCAGGTCTCGCCTGAAGAACATAAATAATCCTATTTTAGAATTTGGAAAGTATGCTTCGATTCGAAAATATTATTTCGAGGTTATATAATTAAGGTTAATATTATTATTTATTTTTTTTTTGCCTAACTGCACTTCGTGCGTGGATAGGTCTTTTATGCCTAAATGCACTTCCGCGCATATGACTTAGTTAGGTCTTTTTGTGAGACATGGAGGTGCAAGACTACTACATGAACTACATGCACACTTTGCCTTGAAATAACTATGAATTTCGATAATTTATGCATAGTGTGCATCTTGAAATTACTATGAATTTCGAACATTATTATGCATTGTATGCATCTTGGAATTACTTTGAATTCCGAACATTATTATGCATTGTATGCATCTTGGAATTACTATGAATTCCGAACATTATTATGCATTGTATGCATCTTGGAATTACTATGAATTCCGAACATTATTTAACAATAAAATCATCACTCCGAAAATTCGAATTTTCACAAGAACTTTTTAGGTTAACTTCTTTCAGCACAAGTTTCAAGAAGATTTTTTTTTTTTATTATTGTTTTAATCACGTCGGGGTCACCATTTTGTTGCGTACATTTTAGCAACAATCAGAACTATTGAATATTCAACTTCATAATAATAATTACCTTCATAATGATGCTGAGAACACGAGAACTTTATTTATTAAGGTTTTATAAAGCATATATATGTCAGAATGTAGTTGCCACGGAGACATACATGGTTGAAGCTTAAAAGCTTTAACAAGTACTATGCAGTTATTGTTTTGGGCTTTTGAGTGTTTTTATTCATATATTTCTTGAATGAATGATTTCACAGACATTCGAATCATAAAGAAAGGGTTGAAAATACCGATTGGAAGAAAAGAGGCACTTACTTTTTGTAGATTCTCTCTCCTCGGTACTCCAGCTGATACCGTCCGGGCTGTTTGTACATCACAAAAACAAATCGGTGGATGCCTGTAATTTTTTTGAAAATACTCTTTTAAAGCTGAAACTAGAGTATAAATAGGGGGTTCATATCCAAAAGACTCAAACATTTTCGATTTTCCTTACTTTTGAGTCTCCGCCTGTGTCAAATTCACTCCAAATAGTAAGCTCTGTTTTTTTGTTTTTTGTTTCTTTTTTTTTTAATACGGCAGTATCAACCTCAACATGTCTTCTTCTTCTTCTGATGGTTTATTGGCTTATATTCCAAGAGAGGAACCTACAGCCATCTATAGACAGGATAACAAATTAGAAAACCTCAACATGTTCATTTTCCAAAGATAGGAGGCGCCAAGGTTCTAACTTATGAGAAGGTTCACCTCCATCCACTTAATAATTCCATGCAAAGATCAGAGAGAGCTGAATACATTACAAGGAGGGCCAAAGCTGCAGGACAATTAGAATTTGACACTTGAAGTCTCTCTACAGATCGGCAATCCTCTTCATACAGGATTATCCAAAAGTCCGGGAGCCCCCTTATAACTTTTGAACAAAACATGCTAGAGATTCGGAATTTGGGGAATCTTCCTAGGTCAATGGAATTTTTTTATGGCGAACCGTGTTCAAAAGTTATAAGGGAGTCCCGGACTTTCGAATAACCCTGTATAACTGTTTTATAACTGTGCAGCCCTTTGCATCGTTTGACTATAGTTATGGAAGTGAATGTACTCCCTTTGTTAAGCCCTCACCTTTAAGAGCTTTTCATGGACTCGGGGGTGGGTTTTAGAAATCTCCAGCATGTTTCTTTCGAAATAAGAGGGACAAAGAAATCGATAACCCGTCTCTTCATCCAATAATTAATTTTACCACGGATTTCTGGTCACGCGGCTCAATGCATCCTAAGTACGATCGATATACTTCTAATTTCAACTACAAGATGGATTGTTTTAGGAAAATCTGTTTTAAGAATCTAACTTATTCATTATGAATCATCGTTCCGAGAATAATCTTACAAAATCTTAAAATTAAGTCTAAAAGACTGTTTCTCTAATTTGAAACCGATTACGATGTATCGATATTGATAATTGTACGGAATCAGTATTCTTGACTAAACATCTCTTCGTGGTTAACCAAGAGGCTGCAATTAATTTAGATTTTTTCTAAATAATTCATCTCATGCTTAGAATTTGCGCTATACTCAGCTTCAGAATTTACCTAGAATGCATCGCGCCAAAAAATTGAGGCCACACCTTGAGAAATTCCAATTGAGCTGGGTGTAAAATGATTGAGTTAAATACCTACCAGGTTCATAGGCCCGAGTGGAAATCGTGTAGGAGGCAAATTCTTCTGCAGCATAAATTCTTTCCTCGGGAATGTTGGCCACCAGCCAGTGTTTGTAGCAGCGGTTTGATGGATTCTCTCGTGTTGGAGAATCTGGTCCTTTTGAAGAAATAGAAATATATTTCTCATCAATCTACTTACACTAGAATTCCTGCTGTGTTATGGTTCGTAAGTATTTTATGATGATACGGAAGAAAATCAGGCACAAACTCTGAGGAATAGCTTAGAATTTTCTGATGGCATCCATCTTACAGTTTATTCCGTTTTAGTTATACAAAACGGACTATTTTGGCTAAACTTCAAAAAAGTTGTTTCACTCCTGGCATTTCGCATAAAGTATAACATGTAATAATGATGTCCATTTTGGTGCAATTTTTAACCGCCTCAATTCTACCAACGTGTTTTTGAAACTGTAACGACCAAACTGCGGGTCAAAATGACCGGATGACCCGCTTTAAATAAAAATTGATTAATCGTAGTAATCGGATGAAACACGAACATGCACAAAGCACTTATTTGTAAAAGAAAACATGAGCATCTCTTCCCCGCTCACTTCGGGAAACAATCGAACTTTTTGGAAATTTGAGTTTGTAAAGGAAGCAGACTCCCTCAGACAAAAAGCTCAGCCTAAGTGGGTGGAACATCTCTTTCTCCTGAGTTTTGTGTAATTTTACAGGGTATTTGTGTTTTACTCATTTTATTTATTTCAATATCATTGAATATTATGCTATTTTCATCACAAGAAAGAGAAATACATCAATTCAATCATTTGTCGGAGAAATTGAATTTCAGAGGTAAGTTAACAAAGTTCGTTCCTCTCTACTGAACTCAGTCTAATGTTTACGAATGTACCCTTACCTAGCAGCATTAATGTGTAAACTTCATACTCATCGTGCAAAAACCAGTCAACAAAGGTTGGCGCATTTTTTACATCTTTGAAGGTTAGCTCATTGCCACAATCAACCACTGTTTCATTGTTATTGTACACAATCTAGAGGACAGAATTGAACAAGATGAACTAACGGTGAATTCTCAATCTTACTGCGTACACGTGCTTTACTAGCAATTGAACTGTGATTTGCACGGAGCGCAATGGCAACCGGTAATATCAGTGTGCTTTAAGCCGATGGCGTTCCGGTTAGAGCCACTTGAGGGCTGAAAATAGTATCATGCATATTCAACGTAGATGAGTTTATTTAACAGCGCGGAAGACTATTTACGATAGAAATAAAAGGCTGCAGATTGTAAGTTCTTCTCTGGAGACTTGAACGCAGAGTTAGAAAAGTTGGACGAGTAAGTTTTGTTACGGAGGACTGTTAATAAAACAGTAATGCAAAATTTCGGCGTTTTCGATTTAGAAAAAGGCATGTTGTATGCATGCATCTGTGATACTCCATACACATAGTCAGTATTTCTCTGGAGACTTAAACGCAAAGCCAGAAAAGTACGTCAAGTAATTTTTGATGGAAGGGATCGTTCATAAAATACTTCACCGTAAATTTTGAATTTTTAGACCCCATTTTCTCCCCTTGACGCTTTCGTGACGTAAGTACTAATCGTTTAACACTGAAAAGTGAGATCGCGTAACGCTCTTCTTGGTTTTTCTACATGACTCTTTGAGCAAACTTGGTTGCTCTCGGCTGAAAAAACTGCACACTGACGTAGTGAATTGATTGAAATGCGCGATTTGAATTACAGTGCTCTCTCGCCATAACGGATCGGCAAGGAACCGGGCGATTCTTTTCGCAAAAGAGAGATTTCCGTTATAATGAGTGTCGTTATAGCGAGAGAATACTGTACAAAAATACTGTGCATTGACGACTGAATTTTTTACCTTTTTGATGTACTCAGCGTAATTTTCTTGCTACGTCACACACAGGAAGCTGACTCAATTGGTTCAATCTCGTGTGTGCAATAAACATGCAGATTCATCGGCTGGTTTGGTATCCGTAAGACTCAAGAAAAAACGCGTATACATATACGAGTATATGCGTCTGAGATTTTGATACTTCCTTCATTATACCTCACTTATATACTAAGAACGTTAAAAGAAACATTTTCATTCATCTCCTTAAAATTCTAAGTTTCCTCCTTACTGAGTATAAATGGAACAAGTATATAGTTAACAATTAGTGCGTATTTACTTGCACTGTATCATTAGGTGCATATTTGATGACATCGGGTATAATACCGTCTTTTTTTAGCAGTGCCTCTATCTCTGGTTGTGTTCTTGGCCTGGCAGTGGGGACTGGCTTGGAAGTGGTCATCCACCATTTTGGTCTTTTTTTGGCTTCAACGTTTAAAATGGACACGATAAGAATACTTGCTCTTGCCAGAAACACCGTCGATAAACACTTAGTTGACATATTAAATGACTTTGAATATTCCTCAGTTACCTAAAACATAACATCAACATGTATTCTTACAGAATTTGCATTTCTAGGTCGCACAATATTTTCACATAAATTGAAGATCCTCCTGGCATGTTCCAGATACAAAATAAAAACTATAAATACGCAGTTTCTCAAAAGAATTAAAAAGGAGCAATTTGTATGAACCATTATTAAATAGATGAATACATATAGTATCGTGTGGTAAAAAAAATAGTGCATTTTTTTTAAAAGGGCTAATTTTCGCATCTAACTCTTTTTTATGTGTACTAAATTTGTGCCAACTGACTTGTATGTTATCAATTCTGGTAAATTATTTCATTCTAAATATTTGGCTCTTATCTGGCATAATTCATGTTTATTTGCTAAGGAGGTTGTTAGGTACGAGTAGTTGTAAACATTACAATTTTAATTCAATTTGGACTTTATATTTTGAGTCCAGTTATAATCACTAAAGTAAAACCTTACTTCAGCAAGTAATAGAATTTTTTTTTTAAATATTGTAAAAAGTAATACGAACATGATCTTCTGAAGTGTTAAAAAAATAAATGAATAAAATGAAAATTGAAGCTGCTCTTGACCACACTTTAGGCGCACGTAATACAATTTTTATTTTCAACCGTCATAGAAATATTTTAGCATGCATGGACCGCAAATACAATGAAGAAACTCATTTTTCCAAACTCAAGATTCAAAATAGCTAAATGTCACAAACCTATACAAAATTTAACTCTATCTTTACATAGGTCTTCATGAGTAAGATTTTCACGAAGCAAAAACAAACTAAACGAAAACAACAAACTATCGAAAGAATTTATCTTCAAATGACTTCGGTTTGAGACAAAACGCTTGGGATTACGTTTGATTGAAACTTCGAAAACTAAATGCATGACTGTCTTCTTTGTAGTGTCTTATTTGTAATTGATTTTATTATTGATTCTTTTGATTAGAAGTTCCTCACTCTCATATTACGTAAAAGTCTGACCGAAATTAATGCTGCTTTGAATAAACGCTCATTATTAAAATTCAATGAAGCACCGAACTAGCATGAAAAAACCGTCCAGAACAAAATATTTGGTAGATTAGAGAACAAGTTTCTCAGACTTTTTGGACTGCGTACAGCAAAAAGTACACTCTTCAAATTTTTTGCATGGGGTTTTTTCCCCTTCCCCCTTTCGAATCTTATGCAAACTCAAATAAAGCGTTCGTTAGTGTATTTAAAATTATATATGTTAGCGGCAAAGCCCGATTCCAGGCAAAACTAGTTTTGCCTAGGCTAAAATGTATTTTTCCGAGGAATCTAGTTTTTCCTGCGCAAAGTAGGCAAAACTAATTCCGCTGGAGCGCTGTCAGTTTTGCCTGAACACGACCAGGCAAAACTAGTTTTGCCGGACCAGGAAAACTACGTAAACCAAAACTTAAAAAAAAAATAAAAAATTTAAAATAAAAATAAAAATTCAAAATTAAAAATTAAAATATGTCCTGCACATCTCAATTCGCAGGCTCCGCTGAGCCCTGACTGCAAATTTCGAGGTTTACCATGGACAATCTTCAATTCTTTCCATAATCCAGCAAGTTGAGTTACAAGTTCGTTGACGAATTCCCGTCCATTATCTGAGTGTAAAATACAAGGGGCCCCAAAAGTTAAAAAAATATCTAATAACACCGGACCAACCGTGGCTGCTTTTTAAGATTCTAAAGGCTTCAAAACACACAACTTCGTCAGGTGGTCCCGGTAGTTTAACACTAATTTAAATTGACCATCTGCTTGTGATTGGTAGTCAATCAGGTCCACCTGGCACCTACTATTCATCTGAGAGTTTCTGAGAGTACACTATGGGGTTGGACACAACGCCTCTTTGTTGGCGGAACTAGTTTTGCCGGACCTCATCAGTTTTGCCTGAACATCAGCAGGCAAAACTAGTTCCGCCTACGGTCGGCTAGTTTTACCTACGCATATCAGGCAAAACAGGTTTTGACTAGGCAGATCTAGTTTTGCCGGTTCATTTCTGGCAGAACTAGATTTGCCTAGGCAAAACTAGTTTTGCCTGGAATCGGGTTTTGCCGCTAACATATACATTCATTAATTTTTAACAGATTAAATATGTTGCCGAGCATGTTTGAGAACAAGAATCTTAGTTTATTGTAGCCGCACCACTTCACGTATAAATCCACAGAAATCTTACTTTTCTCACTTAATTTTCACTCACGTTAACGCGTTAGCTTTGCAAAGGCGGTATTTTGGCCTTACATGTTGATTCGATTATGTGCGCCATCAGTTTTTAAAGCATTATATCTTCAAGCTTCATTAAAAAAACCAAACAGAACATTAATGGCAAGCTGCATTAAAAAAACCAAACGGATCTTTAATGTGAATCTAATCGTCGTATTGGCACTACAATCATCCAAGAGGAGAGCGGGACCAGTTTTTCGGTACTCTAAGCATAATATACATCAGTGGCGCATCCAATGGAGAGGGATTTAAGGGAGATGGAAAATTGTCAACAAATCCAACTTTTTGTGAGAGCCAGAAGCTTCTCATTTTTTTACCATCCCCCGCTCCATCAGAAATTTTTGACCATAGATCTCTCGTATGAAAATTTTTGGCCACGCCACTGCTCGTGGAAAATGCCTATTATTTTTTTGATAAATTCTCACGTATTCGGAATCAACATTTATTGAAACTATCCCTTCCGACCAGAAAGAGATTACTAAGTTCTCGATCCCGATAAATTCTTGATGATTTAAATTAAATTTTATCAGAAGCAAAAAATATCAAATCATGGGTGGAGTTGGAGGCTCTGTTGGTGCCATCCTGTCCATTAAAAAATAATTGACGCAAAGTGGCTCTCCCAGTCCGTACTTCTCAGCAAACTCCATTGTATGAAAATTAACCCGCTCCTTTCCGTGAACTCTGCAACATAATGTTCAGTGATCAAACGTTATTTAGTTTAAAGCCAATTAATGTTGAATTAGGCGAGAAAGTATTTAAAGAAGATGATCCGGTGCTTATTTGAGCTTTGACACAAATTTTAGGAATAATTAAATTACTGACCTGAGAATGTGTGGATCTAACTGAATTGACAATACAATATTTGCTACTTACTCTATTTATTTAAATAATTATACAAAAACGGCCTAATTTACCCGAAGGCTAATATAATGACGACCTACATGGATACAAAAACGTGCAGCCCCATCCACGGAGCTCGTTTCAAGTAGCTAAGTATATTCATAAGTACTCTTTTTCATACGGAGGGATCGCGATTCAAATCATGAACTTTACGCTCCAAAAGGAAAATCTATGCCCATGGTTCTTAAAAACCGTAAATCAATTACAGTTTATCAAAGTCTCTGATCTTTTTCATGTTATTAATGGACAAATGACGAATATTGTATGGTTTGACGTTTTTACGGAAACAATCATGAGAGGGTTAAGCAAAAAGAAAACGAGAGCTAATTTTTGAGGAGTTATTTTTGCTTTGACAATTAGGAACGAAAATACATTATTAACGGCATACTTCGAAATACGAATGCCTACAGAATTTAGCCATCGGAATGTTTATTTGAAACTGCAAAAAAGTCAATAATTTTTCTCTCTTGACTAAAAATATCTCTGATAGGACTTCGTAAAATACTTACGTTTTCGTCAATTTTTTCTCGTCGAAGTGCATTTTTGTCTTGTTAGGTTGAGCAAATATAAAAAATATGAACCTGTGAAGCCCTGAAAAAAATTAAACTGGAAGTTATCTAAAGCCATCTCGTAAAAAGACAGACAAATATTTAATACAAAAAAACGTAAAAAAATGACAATTTTTCGTTTCACATAAGGCACTTATGAGTGTTTTCAGTTTGCTTTTAATGGAGGCCAACGCATAAAGTTTTCTTTTGAAAATTGTTTATTGAATAAATATGCTTCGGCGCATGCCATTTGTTGAAAGGAATAGGGACTGAATTTAACATTGAGAAAGCCTGTAATTTATTTATTGTTCCACCTATACTACAACTACTACATACGTGTCACACAAGATAGTTATAATATTCCTAAGGTTGCATTTTCGTTTGTTCCGTGTAGCAAAATGTAGAGTACAAAAGGATTTAATTACATGAAGGATTTTTTTCTCTAAAAACGCCGTTATACATGTCAAATATAAGATTCTGAGCCGAGACCGCTTTTTACAAGGTTTAGTTCTAGAATCTAAATTTACTAAATCCTGCCCACGGATGTCATTGGTGTGTGGATCATGATGGCAGACCCTGCTGCTCTTTGTTTTAGTGATTTTTTTAATATAGATTTTAATATGATTTTACGACGTGGTCAATAATTTTGAGTTTGCTCGAGCAGAAAATTTATGACCACTTTTAGTGGTTAGGACTAAAAGAATGCTGATTCGATATATTTTTAGTAAGCCCTACGTTTCCAAGTCTCTATCTCAATTTGTTCAAAAAATATACGGAGGCGATGCCTGGTGCTGGTGGTGTGGGACTTTTGGATCACCCAGTATAAACCCGTATTTCATAATTCGTGGTTGCAGCCTTTGAAACAGTTACGAACTTACGACCCTTAGTCTTGGACCTCTATCGTCTATTTGATATCACACACTCAAATCTTACGAGCCTTTCTAAGGCAGTTTAGCACCTGCGTCCATATCATAGACTTAAAACTCACCGTCTTCGTTGGTATACATAGGTCCAATGTATTCTGCAAGTGTTTCGCCTTGATTAATCTGATTTTCAGGGATGTTGACGATGTGCCAGTGTCTGTATTCTCTTTCATCGTGGTGTTTTCTGGTCGGCATATCCAATCCTATAAACCGAAGAAAAGCATCTCGTATTTCTTTTTCTTCATCAAGTGAAAATGAAGCTCATGCTACATCCAGATCAAAGTGTCATCCAAAAAAATAAAATTAAAGAAAATCACAGGCCGATTTCAGAGACTAGTTCATTTCATACAGATATTTTGAATAAAAAATTGATATTTTTCGTCGGATATTTTGCGCAAATTGATTCGATGAACTCAAGTCCCTTACGAAACGTCAACAATGCCTGCAATGCGCCTTCAGCAATAAAGTATCAGTCATTACGAACTGCTTAATGTCTGATTAATGAAACTATGGTGCTTTTTGTTGCCACATTCTTACAATTGAATACCATCATACCATCATTAATATAAACTTCGAAGGATTCTGCCTTTTTCTATTTCACTCGAGGGGAAGTGTCCCCTCCCGGACTCTCTTCCCCACCCGGTGACTGACGCTGCGCTGTGCTGAACGGTTCAGCCTGAACCTTTCCCCTACGTCTGACCGTTCCCCACTCCTCTGTCAATCGAACCATATGCCACCGCTTACG